ATAAAATTAAAGGAAAATTTTGATATGATAAATATATCATGATACGTATCATATTGCCACCCTGTATGATCATACTGTATTGTATCGCTTAGTGCCTGCATTCCGACATCTCTAGTAGTCCAGTTAGGTTTGATCTTCCCCATTAATCTTTTCCTCTTTTAAGAAACATGCCTATCTTCAATTAATAATTAATTTATTTTTAAGTACTTCTCAAACCTGTCCCAACTCAACTCATCTTTTAATTCATTGTCCCAATTCATTAATGATAAATTTTGTCTCTTGGCCTCAAAATTGGCTTAATGAAAATTAAAAACTGAAATTTAATTTCATTTTACCTCAATATGTAGCAAACATCAAACCTAATTATGTAATTATCACTCTTCCCAAAATATCCCCCCCCCCCCACTTTAACCCTTGAAACCATATCCTCATCAGTGGTTAACAAAGGAATTAATTACTGTTATTCTAGCATTATGAGTATCAAGAACAAAATAGGTGTTCATGACCCTAGAAGAAATGAAATATTATGAAGTAATAGAAATTATGAAACTTGGTTAAATCTGGAGAGTATTGGTAAAACAAAATATGTTGTAATTAGTAGAACGTGGTGAAATTAGACAAAATATACAAACTGTGGTATTTCACTCAACTTGCATTCTTTTCTAACCACACAAAATCAAATATCTGGCCACTAATATAAGCTTTTTCTGAAAGCTTTGGCAATGTTGATACTTATCCTACTTTCAAAGGTTTTAATTAGTCATTCCTGTTTATATATTTGTTTATAACACAATAACTTTGTAACACCCCTCCTTAAATAATTTGAATTAGTCATCCATACTTTTGCAATTGTTAACAAAATTCTCAGAACTCAACAAAACAATAAATTTGTGAAAAAAACTAGAAAATTACACAGCAAACCTATTCAAAACTCAAAAACATGTTCAAACATCTTTACTGGACATTCATTCTCTTTAAAATATAAAATTGTAATATTTTTATTAGCATAAAACAATACAACCAATAATCTAAAATTGGCTTATAAAAATCATTACATGAAAATTATGATTCAAAAATTTTCCAGCAGAAAGTTTTATAAAATTTTAACAACACACGCAGAACTTAATATGTATCCATAAAAGTCACTCTTAGTAGGCTTTACACCTATACATAAATTTATTTTTCTCTTCTTCTTTATAGTCCTACACAATGGATGAACAGACATCCATTTCCTCAAATATTTTTCTGCTAGTAGAACATGTCAAAATTCAACAAAATATATATAGTTGTGGTATTTCAAGCCACTTTCTAATACTAAGGACTATCAAATTCATATTGGATACATTGTTTACAAAGCTTGCTTGTAAACAGTGTTTTCAATATTTGTACCTTCAGGGGCATAAATTTGTAATTGATTGAATGACCATACACTAGATAGAGCTACATAGAACTGACTATGAGAAAAAATACTTCAGCAAAGTGCAACCCCTATGGACAGACATCCATTTTCACAAATTCTATTACTGTAAGATTCCAGGTTACTATTTCTTTAATAGTGACAGACTCTTTAAATAAGAGGGTGGAGTGGCTCTTTATAAAGGGGCAAAAAACTGAAGCTTGTTAAGATTGAAGATATAAATAATAAAGTCAAGAAGATTAATTTATATGGGTTACAATCTGAGGTTCCAGAGGTAGAAAGTTAATTGGCAATTATTATAGGCCACTTGATCAGACAGAAGGGGTAAATGAGAAATTGTACAATGTGATCAGTGTTGTTACTAATAAGAATAGTGATGCCATAATTAAAGGAGACTAATTTCAGACACTGACTGGTATTGTATGGAGTCAAGTAATGATGGAGATATTTCTTTAAGTGATTCTGGATGGTTTTTTAAAACAAATGGTCAGACCTACAAGTGTGGGGGATGTTATTTCAGCAAAATTGAAGAAAATGATCTTGGAATAGTGATGGATAAGTCACTCAAGCCATTTTATCAGTTCTCTGTTGCTAGTAATAAGCTAAAAGAATTTGAAGTTATATTGGAGCAAAACTACAGTTTGAGAAAAGAATCTTCATAAAATCATTTATTGAAGCATGGTATTATAAATGAAAGTCACCATTGATTTATTAGTCCTACATCAGTGGTTGGAAACGTTTTGATATCACACTATCAAAAACCTTTCCCACAACTGCTACAAGATTAATACTACTAGCCCTACAATTACTGGGACAATTTTATCACCTTCCTTGAAAAGAGAAGTAACTTTAGCAAACTTTCAATACTCTAGCACTTGCCAACTGTCTAGTGTTCTGTAAAAAAATCCTAACAAAGTCCTTCTTCCCTTATATGCCCTAACAAAAATCCAAGTAGCTTCAACCTCCTTGCCATTAGCTTTGATATCCTCAACATCAACAGGCTATAACTCACAATTTACATATAAAGCCACTCTTCTCCCTCATTTTAGTATTCTATCTCTATTAAATAACCTACATCCCTGTATTTTAAAAATATTTCTGTCATCAAAATCATCTACATTTAATCAAAGTTTAGTTATTCCAATTACATCACAATTGATATGTTGCAACCAATGCTCTAACATTATTTACTTCTTATACTCCTAGCATTACAATACAAAAAGTTTAGCCTACCCTTAAAACAATTTCTGTACTCTGTTTCTACTACATTTTTTACTTTTTTTTTTCAGTTAGTTTATCTCACAAGTCCAAACAACCAATCTGCTCATCCTTGCACTTAGGTTATCATAATTTGGACTACAAGCACAATGCAGATGGGAACCAATTCAAAAGGTAACTGAAGAAAAAAAATCTTGATATAGTGGTGGAAAAGTCACTCAAACCAAAGAGGCAGAGCTCTGTTGCAAATAATAACCTAACACTTTTAGGATGTATTTATAGACATATTGATTACATGTCAAAAGTGGTAATTATCTCTCTATTAAAATTACTAGTTAACCCTCACTTGGAATCTTTGTCCAGTTTTGGTCTCCATATTTGAGAAAGAATATTGTATTATTGGAAAGGATTTGTCCTAGTACTCCTCAATGAGGATCATTTCAAGGATGGAAGGGTTATCTTATAGGGAGAGATTAAGATCTCTCAACTTATTTTCTCTTGAGAAAAGAAGGATAACTGGTTATCTTATGGAAGTTTACAAGGTTACCCAGGGAATCTATAGGATTTAGGCCCAATTTTTTATGTTATATTCTGAAGATAATAGATAAAAGTTTTAAGATTTGGAAACAATAATTAAGATGGTTTTATTTTTATAATGGGCTTAAGAGGGAAATCAATACTTTCTTACAAATTAACAAGTAGGTTTAAAATTTAAATTATTTCCAAAGGGTGGGTATGTAAGAACAGCTCTGAAGGACCAAATGGTCTCCACTGTTTGGCTCTCTGCAAAAAAATTAACTATAGAAAAAAGTAAATAACAATTGATTTCATATAGTTAATCAAATAGTTACAAATGTTACCAAGCAAGACGTGTGTGATTACATTATGAAGAAAGGGAAAGAAATTATTTATTTTCCTTCTCTAGAAATACAAGGGTGGAACATTCTTTTAAAATCTAAAGTTTTTCGCACACTGACCTTTAGAAATAGTGTCAAAAGTAGATGATCAATGTAAACATAACTTACTTTAATTTTTTTTGCAAGAACTTGGAATGCCGGGCTCTGTTACATATTAACATAACATTTAAGGGCAAAAAGGAGCTTGATGGTTTAATGAGGCTCTCCAATCCATTTCAAATAAAAACTCAAATCCAGCCCCATCACTTAAATACTTATTGAGCCTTCCATTAAATTTATCGTATCTGAAGACAACATATTCCAAAGACCAACCACTTTGCTAGAAAAATAATTATCTATTTTGAAGATGATTTCTACCCTGCCAAAATTTATATTTGTGTACCCTACTATTACCATTCTCACAACTAAATACATAAAAATGAGGCATCAATTCCCTTAACAATCTCAAACAGATCCCTTTTAACTCTTCTTTTTTTTTTTTTTAAGAGAAAACAATTTCAGAGATCTTAACCTATCCTCATATGGCAACCTCTCCATTCAAGGTCCTCCTCTGAACCTTTCCAAGACTCAATACAATACTCCAAATGTGGTCTAACTAATGACCTATACAATGACATTATAACCTCTTTAGACTTGCATTCAACATTTATGTACGTACAACACAAAAATCCCATTTTTCCCTACTACAGCCAATAGCAAACTGCTTATAAAAAGAAGTTAAGTGACCAATCTACCAAAACATCTTTTCTTCCATAACACTATTATTAATGTTTAGGTTACTCCCACCAAAATTATATTTCTAATTTCAATTATGATAACCCGCATGAAATACTTTGTATCTTACTATATAAAAGTATAAAGATGACCAAATATGTGTGCATCTTTGTGTGTTTTAGCATGCATCAACCAGAATTGGCTGGCTCGATTAATATTATTTTTTGCATAGTAATTTAAAATTGCCCAACAGTGTAGAATGAATGGCTAATTTTTTAGAATTTTTGCCTGATATGAATTATATAAAAAAACACACCCTGAAATAGGGCATATTTCCACTTTCTATCAACTATTGGCATTGAATTCAAAGACACAAGTGCTTAATCAGTTAAATGTGTCGATTATTACCTTCTAAGTTCCACAAAGGTGGGAATGCAACTAACATCTATGATCTAGAGATGTCATCAGACGATTTTAATATGATAGGGAAGATTATATAATATTGTCCTTTAAGTTTAAGCAATTTTTGCTTCAATTTAAAAGCCATCTGCTAGTTATACGCCCAACTCGTCAAATGTTCTAAATCCTTTTGTAAAGTAGAATCTTCCTCAGAAAGAGCCTGCAAATTCAAGTTTCAACACCCTAGAGTAGAGACGAGTCTAAGTCTAACCTTAGATTATCACACGATATCAGCAAATGTAGACAATATATTGACTAGTATTTACTCTACTTACTTAATCTATGTGACAGTTCTGAGAAACATTAATTTTTCAATGCAAACCTTCCTACTGCAAAAATATAGCCCAAAGTATCGATTAATAACAACCTTACCCTATCCTTTTCTTACAGTAGAATCGCTTATTCTGAAACTGATACTAAATGGCAAGAAAAAAAGTCACTAATCACCATGCGCAAAACCAAACTCGGAAACACTCGGTGAATGATAAAATTATTTTCACATTAGGATATATATATATATATATACAGTTAACAAAATGATATATTAATAATGAATAAAACGATAAATTACTTTTCTTTTTACTTATTATTTGTATAAAATCACTTCTTCCTTTTTTTCCTAATCACTATTAAACATATACTTTTGCCTTTCACATTCAACCTTTAATATAAATATTTGGCCTTCTGGTGGCTCTGCGGTAAGCTAACGGGCTTATAACATTGAAAATTGGGGTTTGATACTCACAGTGGGTACAGCACAGATAGTCAATTCTAAAATTTTACGCTTAAAAACAATTAAATAGAAGTTTGCTTGTTTGTTTTTCCAGCAGATGTCCAGCTATACAGCGATAATAATTGAAAAAAAAAGTGAACATTTTCAATTGGTAGAATATTTCAAAAGACTTAAGATTAATAAAAAGGTCGAATATAATGAAAACAGAATGAAAAATTAAACAGAAAAACAACTTTAAAGTGACGACTGCAGTGGACAGAAAACCACGCTTTTGGTAGAGGTAAAAGATTTTGCAAAGCATCTTTTGAGCTTGTTCGGAAAAAGATGTCAGTCTGCTATCCAAATTTACTAGCCAAAAAGATGATGGCAAGAATTTTAAAATATTGTTGCGTCAGCGAGGTCACGTGACTAGTATCACGCCACGGGACATTGTGTAATTGAACTGAGTATTGTCGAGCACGAACACGTGAGACGTTCTAGCGTTTGTTATAGAGCGACAGTTGAAATTAAATGTATCGGTAAAGTAGTATTCGGAAAGAATAAACCAGCTTTATTTAATAAAGGACTTGTGTCGCTGGACCGGCATGGCCAGGTGGTTAGAACGCTCGACTCGCAATCTGCGGGTCGCGGGTTCGCATCCCCGTCCCACCAAAAATGCTCGCCCTTTCGGGCGTGGGGGCGTTATAATGTGACGGTCAATCCCAATATTCGTTGGTAGAAGAGTAGCCCAAGAGTTGGCGGTGGGTGGTTATGACTAGCTGCCTTTCCTCTAGTCTTGCACTGCTAAATTAGGGACGGCTAGCGCAGATAGCCCTCGTGTAGCTTTGCGCGAAATTCAAAAAACAAACAAACAAAAGAAACTTGTGTCGCTAAAGTTTCGTTGGAACGAATTTACGGAAAATTAATTAACGAACGAACGGAGACGTAACAAATTGGTGTCAGAGAGTGGGACGAAAAAAAGAAGAAATGGAAACGAGAAGCGACAAATCAAACTACAGCTTAGCAGACTTGATGGCAGCAATACAAGAGCAGCAAAAGAAACCAGAAGAACGATAAAATAAACAAAAAAAAGGAAAAAGAAGAGAGACAACAGCAGTTGCAAGAAAATCTGCAACAGTGGCAGCTCGAACAACAAAATAAACAAGAAGAGAGATTACAACAGTTGTTGGAGGAAAAAGAAAATAAACAAGAAGAGAAATTACAGAAGTTGTTAGAGGAAAAAGAAAAGAAACAAGAAGAACGAGAAATTAAACAAGAAGAGAGACAACAGCAGTTGCAAGAAAACCTGCAACAGTGGCAGCTCGAACAACAAAATAAACAAGAAGAGATATTACAACAGCTATTGGAGAAGAAAGAAAATAAACAGGAAGAGAGACTACAACAGTGGCATGAAAACCCACAACAATTGCTGCTCGAACAGCAAAATAAACAAGAGAGACTACAGCAGTGGTTGGAGGAGGAAGAAAATAAACAAGAAGAGAAATTACAGCAGTTGTTAGAGGAGAAATAAAATAAACAAGAAGACAAATTACAGCAGTTGTTGGAAGATAAAGAAAAAAAACAGGAAGAAAGTCTCCAACAGTTGCAGGAAAGTCAACAACAGTGGCAAGAAGTACAAATGGAAAACATTAGTAAATTTAAAAGCGAATTAGATACATTAAAGGAAGATTTATTGTCTTTTACACAAGGAGGATACATTAACCATCGACTTAATCAGCCCCAGATAATGGCAAGCCCTTCCAGAGCCCGCAGCTAAACCCTCATGCAGACATCTTCAGTCGTGTTAGAAGTCACATCCCAGATATGAATGTCAGTACTAGGAGTGATCCAGTAAGAAGGAAGCCACAGGAATATGATGGGAAAGCACCGTGGGAAGCGTATAGAGCACAATTTGAGCTACTGGCAGAGATGAACGGATGGACAGAGGAGCAAAAAGCAGTATATCTGGCAACGAGCTTGAAGGGACAACCACTGGAAATACTTGAACAGTTGTCAGCAGATGATAGGCACAACTATAGAGCACTGGTAGCGGCTCTAGAACTCAGGTACGGAACCCAAAATCAGTCAGAAGTCTACAGGGCCAGGTTCAGGACGAGAGTCCGTGCTAAAGGGGAGAGCTTGCAAGAGCTGGCACAGGACTTGGAAAGCATGGCACACAAAGCTAACCCAACTGCACCACCCGATCTCCTCAAGTTGTTGCTGAGGGATCAGTATGTAGATGCCTTGGACAGTCCACAACTTAAGATACAAGTGAAGCAAGCACACACCTCTACCATGCAGGATGCAATGGCCAGAGCTCTCGAATTTGAATCCTACGTTAAACCTCTGTGCTGGACCTCTTGTGCCCAGGTTTGTTACAGTGCCAGCAAAGTCCCTCAAACCTCTCTGAAAGCTGACCTTTTCTGGCCTTGAATCCAGATGACTGTACCAACCTTGGTAGCTCAATGATGGCAACTTCAACACAGGGGAGATGATACAGCAGGAAAGGCTGCTTCCCGGAAAGACTGTTGGAACTGTGGTGAGCAAGGACACCTGAGGAGCCAGTGTAAGAAAAATACCACCAATAAGTCAGCTTCAGGTGCTGAGTTGGTGCTGAAAGACGCCCACCAACCTCCATCGTGAAAGTCTCAACAGCTAAGTGTAAAATGGCAAGCACACACAGTGTCTATGTGACAGGGAAGCTGGATGGCCAAAGGTGCAACTTTGTCATAGATTCTGCATCTCAGCAAACCCTTGTGAGCATCAAGGTGTTAGATCAGGAAGGAGTACCAGAAGCTATGCAGAAGCTCTGTGGTGTGACAGGACATTATGCAAGGTTGTGGGGACCAGTGTGGGTAACTATCGAGCTCATGGGCATGAAGAACATACAGAAAGTATACTTGGCTGACATTGAAGACCAATGCATATTAGGATTGGACTATCTACTATTGAGGAAGTGTGTAGTTAACTTCGATAAAATGACAATTGGAAACAACAAAGGCCAGATTCCAGTAGGTGTTGCTACATCCGTTGATCTGCATGTCACAGCACTTGAATCAACTACAATATGTCAGAGAAGATAATTTGGGGTAGGACAAAAGAACATCCCCAATGCTTGTAGAAGCAGTGGAAGACC